ACTCATCTGGACTTCAGTACAGCCTTTGGCTGGGCCTCCCACAACATCCTTCTCTCTAAACTGGACTGTTGTTGGACAGATAAGAAAGTGCTTGGACAGCTGCATCCAGTGGTCAGTTGCATCCAGCTTTGAGTCCCAGTGGGCATCAGTGACAAGGGGTGTCCCTCAGAGGACCGGTGTTATTTAATATCTTCATTAGTGATACAGACAAAGGGATCGAGTGCACCCCCACCAAACTGGCAGGGGACACTGAGCTGAGTGATGCAGCTGACACACCTGAAGGATGGGATGCCTTCCAGAGGGACCTGGACAGGCTCGAGAACTGGGCCTGTGGGAATCTCATGAAGTTTAACAAGGCCAAGTGCACAGTGCTGCACCTGGGCTGGGCAGCAGGGGAGGGAGGGGATTCTGCCCCTCTGCTCTGCTCTGGTGACACCCCACCTGCAGGGCTGCATCAGCTCTGGGGTCCCCAGCACAGGAAGGACATCAACCTGCTGGATTGAGTCCAGAGGAGGCCACCAAGATGGTCAGAGGGATGGAGCACCTCTCCTATGAGGAAAGGCTGAGGGAGTTAGGTTTGTTCAGCTTGAGGAGAAGGGTCACCTAATTGTGGCCTTCCAGTACCTGAAGGGAGCCCACAAGAAAGATGGAGAGGCACTTGCTACAAAGGCTTGTAGTGACAGGACAAGGCATAATGGCTTCAAACTGAAAAAACCCCCCGACTTATATTAGATATTAGGAAAAAATCATTTGCTGTGAATATGGGGAGGTACTGGAACAGGTTGCCCAGACAGGTCATAGGTACTCTATCCCTGAAAGTGTCCAAAACCAGGCTGGACAGAGTTTTGAGCAATCTGATTTAGTGAAATCTGTTCCTATCCATGGCATGGAGACTGCAATCAATAGACTTTCTACATGGAAGGTTCTTCACTTAATTTGAAACTGAATTTATTAAAAATAATATGAAGCAAATTTGTTTGACAGTATTATACATCAGTATCCTGGGCAGTTAATTTTCTTCTGCTGTTCTGGTGGAGAGTCTGGTTTTCATTAATATAGAATGTAACTGAGGGAAAAAAACTGAAGAAGGATAATAAAAATATTATCAGTATTTGTTTTGATGGTGGTAATATCAGCAAGCCTGATGACTTGTTCTGCGTTTTCCTCTATGCCTTTTGCCAATTATTTTGTACTTTTTCCTTTCCATTTCTCCTGCTAAAGACAGAAGTAATGATAATAATCCCTACAACCTCCTGTAAAATGCTGTGAAACCTGGCAAATCAGATTGTAGTATCTGAATGAGAAGTTTTTATTTCCTCGAGCATGTCTGTTAAAGAAAATCCTATGTGTAAGGTACTGAAGATTTAACATCTGGATGGTTCACCTTGAAAGAATTGGCAGTAAAATCAACCACATTTTTAGGTTTTTTGACTAACTAAACACTTCCTCTTTCAGGGATTAACTATGAACCTATTATACTCTCTACAAGAATCTTCACACCTTTTTCTAAAAAAAGGTAGGCTTCAAATGCTTACCTTTCCTGTTGAAATCATCTGATTTGTGCAAGAGTTGATTGAGTCTACAGTTATCCACAATGACTTTTAGACAGTTCCCTAATAGTCTGGTTTGGTTTTATGTACTGAAAAATCAGCTGGGGACTTTTAAAACAAGTTTAAAGGAGGCTGAAGGAGTTTAGTGTCTGACAAAAAGTGGTGTTTGCATACTTTACACATTTCTCTGCAAGGAAGGCATTATGGAAAATTATTGAAAAAATATTATGAAACACTGGCAATAATCTGAGAAATATACTTGAAGTCTTGATTTCTTTGGCAGCGTTTGTGTTGTTAAGATTTTATTTACTTTTGGTTCACTACAATGGATATTCCTCTCATAGAAGTGATATTCTAACACGAAAACAACACATAGCCCAAAAAGGTTTTGCTTTATTTGACTGGAGAGAAGCAATTTCTGAGTCTAGGCATGGAGTTTATGATAGCCTATGTCTGTAACACAAATAACACAACTTTTAAATTTAAACATAAATTTATAGTCAGTTTCTTTTCCATTTTGCTATTTTAAATCCCCTGTTGCTTCTTCACTCTGGCCATGATTCAAAGTTTACAGAAGTAAAGGGAATGTTATTCATTGGAATCTGCAGATTTTAGGTTGGTCCCTGGTACATTTAACAGAGATAACTTTTATATAATGTTCAACAAACCTAAGTAGGTGTTGTAGATGCCTTTTTGTGGTTAATTAGCACATACATCTGCTGCCACAGAGGTTACTGGAGACAAAGCCTTGGGGTTTTATTTCTCTCTTTGAAAAGCAAGTTCCTGTATTGTAACATGAAACTCTGCTTGAAGATGCTGGATGAGGTTTTCCTTCTGCAGTTTACTTGCCCAGCTAAAGCAGCCAAAGAACACAGGAAGTTTCCTCCTGTGCTTGAAAAACTGCTCCTCATTTGCAGCTGAACTACTTTGCCCCAATGAAGTATAAACATTATATGTATATACACATTATATTACATGGTACAATGCACTACCACATGCTTGTAAACAGCAACGAATAAGCTCAGTTGCTGGTATGACTATTTGACCATTTGAAAAAGCAAAAGCAAATTAAATGTATTCCAATTCTTTATGTGTATATAAGCTGTCTCAAAAGGTTTTTAGGAGCTTTTTATTTTTTTGTATTTAGGGGATTTTATATATTTGCATTTAGCTATCTTCAGGTATTTAGNAAGCCCAGGAGCCTGGATCAGGAACTCTCCTGTCAATCTGAGGAGCTGCTGCTATATTTAGTAACAGACACATGGGAATAGCAGCTTAAATGTGGGAGGGGGCTGCTGGAATGCCGAGATGTGTTTGAATCCACTTGACTCTTGATGGAAACTCTCAGACTGTGCTATCTTTGGAGGGTCTTGTACAGAAATAAATTACATTTCCCTATTTCTTTTTCAACAAAAAGGAAAGCAATTTAGCTGCCATATACCTCCACCACAATAGTTCTGATGAACACCAATTACAGCAGAGCAAAATAAAACCCTTGTTAAATGTTTATTTACCCTCTTGTTTCAGTTGCATGCAAATTAATCAGCAAAAGTGTATTGCATTTAAATGCAATTATGGCAGCCATTATAATGTAAACAGCTTAGTTGTGGTGGGTATTTTTTCTTTTCCCTTATTTTCATGTAATCATGAAGATGAGCAAAAGATGCACCTTGTGTTTCAAATGCTTAAATAGGAAAGTGAGATAGTACTGTGGGAGCAGGAAGATTTTATTTTGCAATTAGCACACTTTCCTCACTGTAAACAAATGACCCCCTTACATCTAGTGACCACAGAACAAGAGAGACCCTCGTAAATTATTGAATTCATAAAGGATTTAGTGTGGCTGATGCATCTGATGAACCACACTTTAACAGAAACATACTATTCTTATTCTTCACCCAGAAAAGCAGATTTCTGGGTTTTCAGCAAAGAGCAATGTTTTGTGGTTTTCTTTCCATTGTCTAGGCTGAGTCCTAGGCTGAGTGCTGTCTTGTGAAGGTCAAGTGACTCCTCCACAGTCTGACAGTGAGTCAGTAGCTAAACATGGAACCAGGATTCCCCTACTTCCCACTCATCTGCAAGTCACTCATCTACATAATCTCTAGGAAAAGCTGGTGGGGGCAAATCACCATCAGGAAGGCTGAGGGAGGAAATTCAGTTAAATCCCCTTGTAGAAATTTATTTCCTCAGTGCATCCAGGGAAATGTGGAAGTTTGGCACTAAATAACCCATGGAGGGGTTGATTTTTTTTTTTAATTTTTTTTTTTTATTTTTAATTTTTTTGAATTAGGAAAAATGAGAGTGTTGGAGCTCTGTGATCCTGCTGTGGGTTTGGAAAGCCTGAACCCATTGCCCTGTCTCTCTGCAGCACTGCAGTGTTACACCCATTCTGCCACAGCTTCACTCTCCAGCCCTGTAGGCAGTGAGCATGGCAGAGCCTGGAAAACCTGATGCAGCTCAAGGCAGGTATTATTCCTTGTTTTACCTCTGGGGCTGGCCAGCTTCTCTCTACACATGAGTATGAGTGGGCACTCCTCAAAAAAACCTATCTGCCTTTTTTTAGCATTTGCCTAGTGCTATCTAGCTGCTTCTTGCAGGTATGCAAGGTCCTTGGTGGATACATAGAGATTTACATTTTTATATTTTGAAGGTATACACACACATCTACATATGTACTTGCTTTATAGCCACTAGTGATCTTTTATAAGATTTGCCTGTTTTTGTGTTTTCTTCATTCTCCATTAAAAAAAAATGCCTTCTTAATGAGCATATGATTTGATATCAGTATTGCCTGAGCAGTATTTCCATGATGAAATTGTGACACAAGCCTGTGATACCAAGAAGCACTCCTGCTCAGCCTCCTGCAGGCAGAAATGTACAGCCCAGGTTAGGGAATGCATGAAAGCCTGCCTCCTCCTCAGGCAGACAGAATTACAGTAATTTGGAAATGACTGGAAGTTATGGTACTTCCCATCCACTCTTGGAAGTGCAATGATTAACTCCTGGGTCCAGAACCACCACAGGAGAAGTTCCTGCTTTTCTATTGGACTCTCTTTGTCCCTCTACTTATAACAGATGCTCCAGCTTTATGATGGAAAAATGTTTTATTTCTAATGTAAATTCCTTTCTCTGATTTCCTCCACTACTTGACCAATCTTTCATATGCATACTGCTATATCAGCATGGAGTTTTTCTAAAAACCAGGAGGTAAATACAGCAAAACAATGAGGAAACACCACAGCTTCAAAGGGAGTTACCTCAATTGCTGGCCTTTGACTTGGAGTAAGTCAGTATCTAAGGAGTTTCATTAATGTTTCATCTTCCTCATGAGAAGTCATTCACTTTCTATCTGAGCTACTGCTGAGGAATACAGCAAAGAAAATGATNCGGGCTCGCTGCCCGAGGGGCCGCCGCTGCCGCCCGCCGCTCTGCTCACCCCTCTGCTCTCCGCAGGCAGGGCAGGGGACAGCGGCCGTCCGCTGCCGTCTTCCCCGGGCACCGGAGCCGGGGTCTCCCGGGCAGGAGCTGGGACAGGCCCGCCGTCGCCCCTCGCATTGCCGCCGCTCAGGGCCAACAACGCTTCCCACACGGTGAGCCCGGGCAGGGGGGTGTGGACGGGGTGCGGGGAAGGGGCGTCTGCCCCGGGACCGAGCGCGCATGGGCCCCACGAAGCGCACGGTGCTGGAGTAACGCGCGTCTGGTTTCTGCAGGCTCCGCTGAAATGTGCATGCTGCTTGGGAGGCTGGGACCCTGGAACTGCACACATTGCTTTCTCCCTCCCCAGCTCGCCCCCCGCCCTTCAGTCTGGTTTTGTGTCTCGTTTTCAGTGACAAATTCGATTTTTCACACTCGCGTAGAGGAGATGTTCTGGTGGATGCATTTTTTGAGATGAGTTTAGTCGCTGTGATTAAAGTGTCGTATGAACTGTGGTGAAAAATGAAGGCTGCTCTCCCCTTTACGTGTCTGATCAGCTCAGGCCGATCGCAGTCTTCCCTAGAAATAGTAATCGCTGTGCTCAGGGACAATGATTGGATGAATCTGCCTTTATTGCTGCAGTAGTTTACCTATAAAGAACCGCTGATGGCGTGAAAAGGACGTTATTTTCCGGTTCTGTGATATCTCACGTTATCTCCCACTCCTAGTTAATCTACTAGGAATGAAGCTTCCCAAGTATGCCACTATATATGGATAAGAGGAGGTATCTCTGTCCTGAAGGCATGACAGAGTAGAGAGAGGGGTCTATATACTATCATGTTAACACTAAATGTCTGAAATTTTTATTGCATACATTTCCTTTTAAATTCTGAAAGATTTCATACTGACCCCGAAAGGCATTGATGGCATACTTTTCCTAGAATTAATGAATTCTTCGTGGATGCTCACATACTGTCTTTGTAAACATATGGCAGAGCTTTAAATGGTAATGTGATTGTGAGCTAGTAGCGGAAGGTGAAACTGTGCATTTAGATACTAGCATTTCAGTGACTTTCCATATAACTTCAGGGGTAAAACATCTTACTCGAATCCATTTAGAGCAAGAATTGTCTTAAAAAATAAAAAATTAGTATTTATACAGGGTATTCCCAAAAGGAGTGAAGAGTATTCTGCAAATTCAAGGTGGAGCTGCATACTTGAGATCAGCTTCATTGTGTATTTATGTAGCTAGGGTATATGTCTGAATTTCACTAGTATAAAAGGCCAATTTTTTTTCACATTTCTATACCACTTAAGTTGGGGCTGTTTTTAGTAAAATCATAAAGGAAGGAACATAGTGCAGACAGCCTGGGCACCAGTCATGCAAGTGCATTTACAGTAGGGCCCACAGTATCAGGGGCTCACTTGTAACAGAGCCCAGACATAATTTAGGATTTGTGAAAGCATGGTGATCCAGCTTTATCTGTGACTGCTTATTAATTCTGAAAGTACAGAATTTTTGTATTTTTATACAAAGATTTTGTGTTAGTGTATTATATATACTATCTGTGCATATATATATATATATACATGCATAAAGATGCAGTCTTTATAAAAGCATTCAAGGGGTGTTTCAGTGCTACATTTCTGTGTTTCAGGTATCTTTACAAGTATATGATTGTGTGTGTGTGTGTGTGTGCATATGTTTATATGTAGCATATATATGCATACTATGGAAGCATCCAGGATTGATCAAGCATTATATGGCTATGCATCAGAATCTGTGTCCCTCTAAATTCTGACTGTTCAAAGTCTGTCTTTCCTTTGTGATAAAGAAGAGCCTACTCTACAGTGTTTATTTAGCCTTGGGTGCTGTTACAGAAATGCCTCATGCTGTCTTTGTAGGTGGTTATTTTGTGGTTGGCTAACATAACTTTTTGAGGTGAGGATCAGATATGACACCAGAATACTGGATTTTAACCTGAAAAAAAAGGGGGGACAGTATCTGTTCTGTAAACTGAGGCCTCCTGACCTCAGCTGGCACTGACAGATTGAAACCATTGGGTTTGCATCCCAACACTTCCTCCAATCAGACCTGTTTAAAATAGGTCCTTTCAGTTTTCTTAAATTATTTTCCTTCTCTGAGTTCATTTGTTTATCCTGTTTCCATCTCTGTTGTATCTTTGTATCTATTGGCTTCTTTAATGGCTAAAAACAGTGTTTCTGATTGTGTTTCAAACTTTCAGAAGGTATAGTGTGCGTAAGTGGGTGAACTGCTGGTGTTTATATATGTGTGCATAGTATATATACTAGTTGTGAGAGAAGCTGAGGTTGAACTTATGTTTTGTTTAAGCTAGAGGGTTTTTCCTTTAATGCAGACAGGGAAGAAATCAACTACCTGTCATATTTCTTGCTTGTGTGATCCAGCCTCTGCTGAAACCATGGCCTCCTACTGTCAAGTGAAATTTCATTTTTTGGTAGATTGTAAATAGCATGGGTAGAGGGGGAGAAGATGATGTTTTACAGAAGCTTCAAAAAACGGGACAGAGGTTTTGGTGGTAGGCTTTGCAAGCACAGCAGCCTTTGTTGCTAAGCAGGCAGGGTTGTGTGTTGTATTAGGGAAAGGTTTTGTTTATTTTTTTTTAAATGTGCCTTCATTCTAGGCTTATTTGTGTACTCTTCCATCCCTGGCTGTCTTTTTAGCCTCATGGTGGAAAACATTAACCTATTTCCAACTCCTTGTCCTCTTCATTTTCCTTTCCAGCCAAAGTAATTGCTTTCTCTTTGGAAGCCTTAAGTTCTTGCCTTGATGATTGGAACCTTTTTCCATTCACTCGCTCCTATTTCATGATGTTGTTCTTACATCCAGTTGACATGCTGCAGGAGAGATTATCTTGTTTGCCTGCTGCTCTGCTTGTGTAAATCCCGACCTGGGAGTCCCTCTTCCAGACTCGTCTCTGTCTTCTGCCTAGCTCTATCTCCATTCTTTACTTGGCATATATTCCTGCATTCTGCACTGTTCCTGTTTCTCTTGAGCAGTATTAATGTTTTTATCCTCCTGTCTAGTACTGTAGAACAAACCATTTACAATGCATGATTCAATGCCCTCCCTCCTTCAAGCCCTTTCTAAAATTTCTATACAGCAAGCCTATTTTCTTTTGCCACTAGTGTTGAGTGTTTACCCATATACTTTTGCATCAGTAATTGTATTAATCTTAATTTTTTTTAAATTTAATTTTTTTTAATTGACTTGCATTATAATGGAACAGAGGTTCCTGGACTCCATCCATACAAAGATCTGGTAGATCACATGCTGCCAATTTTTGCTGTTGTCATCTGCTTTAAAGCAGGTAAAACCAAAGAAAATACCTTCTTATTGTGGTGTTTTCTTGTATTAAATTGCTACAGAAATGCTGTCACACATTTCAGAGTGGAAATAACTATGCAGTCATGACCTGGATTTTACTATATGTAGTTTTCTTGGGATGTTTCTTCCTCTATTTACAAATTGTATCTAGGAGGAATATGAAGCTGTCTTAACTTTCAAGGGCTGTGGGGATCGCCTGTGAAATTTGGATTCCAGCAGATGGTGACTGTGATGCTGTGAGGACTGCAGTACTTTTGGGCACATCTCTCATATTTGTATAGTTCACCTAACCCAAGGGGCTCAATTTAGTGTGCATTAACTGTCCTTTTGAGTTTCATCATGTGTAATAAATGCAGGGTGTCCCAGAAGTGTTCAAACTCACTGCACCCCTAACAGAATGAAAAAAAATTAAGAATCCATATCACTCTTGAGGCATAGTTCAGTCTGTGAAAGTATTTGCTATATGAAGTTAAGGTAAACTTTTCAAAACATGAGCTTATATGGACCAGATACAGCAACAGCAAAAATCCAAGTGTTGTGTTCCTTCTACCACTCTTGTTGAGCCACAAGCTCAGCAAAGGCTTAGTCTTTTTTTGTGTATGAAACCCATACTCATGATAAAACCATTAGGGATAATACAATATTATTATCATTGTTCTAATTAGCAAGTATTTTTAGTTCTGAACAGAGGAATGTTGCTGAATTAGTTTATCAAGGAAAAAGAAGGCCTTTTGTACATTTGCTCAAGCTTTTGTTTTGTAGTCAACAAAATAGGCAGTGAAGCATTCTACACCTGATACCATATGCCTCTTGTGTATTTGTTTTTGGGCTGAAACTGGCACGCTCAGAAATGCTTTCATTTCATTGCAGAAATGCTGTGAAGAAAGGGGTATATAGTGTAACAATTATTCTTTAATTAAGTTACTACTTTAGAACACTGTTTCTCCCTTTGTCCTCATCCCTGCTAAGTAATAGCTGATAATGACATCTTATTCCTGTGCAGTATTTCAGCAGGCCATCATGATTGCTCTATTATTAAGATTCATTTTACAAACCTTTTTAGATTTTGATTGACAGCAAAATCTTTTTTGTGTGGTTTTGCTCAAAATAAAATGATAATATATAGCTGAATCATGTGTCTGTCTTGGATAGTTTTATAGGGTACTAATAATCACACAAAATGACTGTTACAAAGATGAAATATGATACAATTACATAATATCTTGATGCATTTGGAGGATAAAGTTGAGAAGAGGTATGTGTTTCTGTGCAGTTCAGTCCTGTAAGTAGTGTTGTAAAAGATCTTGAAACAGATTAATGCATTGGGTGAATGCACTGGAAAGGAATTGTAAATGGGTTTGCCACCTTGTTAGCTGGCTGGATTCATTTTTATGCTACTTCCATGTTGTTACAGGTCTGTAGCTGAAGTATAGTAAGTTACTGTTCTACTTCTGTTCCTAAATCCATTTGTGAAGGCAAAACAAACCCAAATAACACCACCCTCAAATTAAAGTTTTGTTGGGGTTTTTTTTATGTATTTATCATAGTTTAGGGTGTAGTTTGTTTTGTTTTGCTTGGTGTATCTCCTTCAAAGATTGGGTGAATGTTTCTGACATAGTCATCAGCTTCTGTAAATGAACATACCAAAGTAAAAGTAAAATCTTAATGGTGATTTTGAAGTTATGAGAATCTGCTAAGAAATAAAAGGAATGCCGTAACATTTGCTATTATGTAATTGATGGTGTCAGAAAATTCAGGAAGATGAGTTCAAGCTCATCAGTTATTTTTTTAATTATAGTTTTTTAGTTATTATTTATAGACTTAGAACAGTAGGTTTTTGATTATGTGTGCTACACAAATACGTAAATCTTAGCAGGTGTGGATGGGTTTGAGCACAGACAATACAATATATAATTGGCAAGCTTCATAAGTGAATGCAGATAATCAGTTGTGTAGGTTGTTGGTTCTGGAATTTGCAGGTCCTTCTGCAGAAGCAAAATGGAGACATGTTAAAAACCTCTCAGGCTTGTGGTTTTGGTTGAAAGGCTGATGGAGCTTCTGCATACCAAGAACAGTTTGGTACTGGGCTGAGAAGGCTGTAGTTTTTGTAGCTTGCCAAGCCCATTAGTTGTGGTTCAGGAACTTCAGGTGTTGCTGCTGAAGCCTGTGGAGCTTGTGAGCAGTGCAAGCCTGAGCTTGACAGCAATCTCAGACACCCAAGTAGCCAGAAGTAGATAGGCAGAGCAAAGGACTGGTGCAAGTCCAGGTTGGAAGTAGATGAGGAAAGTCCGCTTTTCACATGGACTTTGTGGTTGTGTTGTGTCTGATAGCTCTAAAACTCCTGTTGGACTTTTTTGAAAGAAGAATGGGCTCTCTTCTCCTGCTCAGCTTTTGGAATAGAGCCTTTGATAATGTGGTGTTTTCTACAAAGAAAACTAGTGCGACTGTCTGCATCTGCATTTGCATTCCCAAGCAGCAGCTGACTGAAACTGGCAAAACCAGTAATTTAGGATTTGGGTTGAAGTTGGAATAATGCTGGTGATTTCATTCTGCTGCTTGGAAAAAAAGTGCCAACCTATTAGCATCAAGAGAAACCATGAATCTGCCTGAAAATGCCAGAAGCAGAGCGACATGGTTTACACTTTAGAATGTGTTCACAAACACACTTTCAGAAAAAAGAACTTTTTAGTCCCTGTTGAGAGGGAATAAATATATCAGGCTTTTTCCAAGACCTGAAGAACTTCTTAGTACATATACTGATGTAAGCAGTGCTTAGGAATGATGGAAAATAGTTAACTGTGAAAACAGGTGACTTGAGGAAAAAGAAATTCAAGATGTGAGCTGTGTCAATGAGTACTTGGGTTAAAAAGTTCTTAAAGATTACTTTTGCAGTGCTACTCTTTCTTCCTCATTGCCTACATTAGTATTGCTTATTCCCTGTTTGTCAGGATATGTTCTGCTTTTGTTCAATTAGTGTTGGAAAATAAATTTTTGTACCTAGAATTTCCTAGCTTGAGTCTTTGGAATTGTATGTTTACTCTGCTTCTTCATTATGCCTTTCTTGCAGAGTTCTGCAGTGCTGCATGTGCTGAACCTATGACACATCTTACTAACTAGATCTGGTTCTTCTGAAATGGGTGATTTAGCAGCTCTTGGGGCAATTTTAGTTTTTTTTCTTTGCAGTAACTGCTGTTTATATAGAGGATCAGGGCAGCCTTCAGGAAACTGCTACTGCAGTGCGCCTCAAACTTGACCTGAAGGAATTGCCTGTAGGCATGATTAAGTCCTCTTAATGATTTAATTTTTGGTGCTTTTGAGACATCAGACTAGGAAGGGAGTTTTTGTTGATTTCCTGTATATCTTCAGTGCTTAAGTGATACAAATATCTTTGCTCTGAACCGTGATTGTGTGGTGGTGCTTCCTATGGGACTGATCAAATTTGGTAGCGTGAGCCTAAATTTCTCTGCAAACAAGCATACACAGTCCAACTGCAATGATGAATGAACCAGTTATTCGACATCAGTCAAAGTGGAATCAGAAGAGCAGTCAGCTTGGCAGAAGCAGTCCCTGAAAGCCCTTGTTCTTACATTATGTGAGTTTCAGAGCTGCAAATTTCAAAATACTGTCCAAAGGTGAAGCTGGTGTCCAGCTGGCAAGTCTTTGGGAACAAGTTACTGAATATACAAAAATATGCTTCTGCCATATCAGATTGATGCCTTAACAGAAGCACAAGGTATGCTTGAGTCTGCCTCGCATGTCTGGGTTTTCTCATTAGGAAGCGCTTCTGTGTTGCAGCACAGATTTCATTGCCTCATATCACAGCACACAACTGTCATTTTCTGATTTCATTTCAGCAACCCTAAGTGAACAGGGAATGTGTTATCCTTAGCTGCCTATAAAAAAATACGGTTCAGATGAAAACTGCTCTCAACCCCAGCTTGATCATCTGTCTGACAGTATCAGTGAACTTTTCGTTAGTAATTTGACATAAATATTAAGACTGGTGAATCAGCTGGAGAGACAGCAGGGGAATTCTTCCCACATTTGTGTAAGACCAGGCAGAAGACAAACTAATTATCCTCTACTAGAGAGCAAATGAGGAATTCAAAGACAGCTATTTTAGTGGCAGGTATGCTTGTAGATTTCTTGTTTCTTCTTAAAAATAGCAGGTTTGAAGAAATAGTTGCTTTCACACCCCAGTACTTTGCTGTTTGTTTGCTTGAAAATGCTGAATGCTACTGTTTATTCCCGTGTACGCGCTGTCAAGAGCAAGTCTAATTTCTCAAATCTATTAATGCTATTTTTCCATTCCTTTAAAATAAAGTTATTGTATGCTCCTCAAGGCAAAGATTTGCTCTCTACTCAAGTCTGCATAAGGCCCCAAATATCGTATGTGTTAAAAGTTACTGTTAGACTGGTTTGGGAAAGTGCTAAAGGTGTGCTTATTCTTCATTGATCAGAATGTTTTGCTGAATTGTGTCTGTCTCAATTGCAAGTAGTAAGTTTCATTCTTGAACTTGAGAAATGTGTGGGTTCTTTTCCTCTTTGTGCATGTCAAAGCACATTAATTATTGCTTTAAAACGTATCTGGAACTTTCAGTATACAGCAAATTTAGGAACAAGTTAAAAACTTGATTTCTGAGAACAGGTGATGAGAGCATAAGCCATGTAAGTTCTGGCAGGCATTGTATGTTATCATCAGCATCTATAAAACAGCTACTATTTTTTATAAAGTCTGCTGTCCCTCTAGCATGCATCTTGATGTTACAGGTCTGCTGCCTTAAAGGTTCCTTGGAGATATTGTTAACTTCTCATGGTAGCACATTTGTGGTTGCCTTGTTGCAGACATTTTGGAGAGTCGTGAAAATAGCACTTGAGAAACAAGAATCAGGAAATTTAATAGCATCCAGCACTATCACAGTATACGTGCTGTATTTTTTAGCTTCTCTGTAAACAATTGACATCTAAGAAGACACTTTGTTTTGAGGTGATTAGGGAGAATGGAGGGTTGGAGAGTGAATGTAGAAGCATGGAGTTCATGTCTTTCTTGTTAACTGGGTATGTATTTATTTTCAATTTTAGGTTGGAGGCAGTAAGCACACAATGAATGAGCACCTACATGTTGGTAGCCATGGACAAAACCAGGTTCAGCAACTCTTTGAAGATAATAGTAACAAGAGGACGGTTCTGACAACTCAGCCGAATGGACTTACAACGCTAGGCAAATCTGGATTGCCAGTGGTTCAGGACAGACAGTCAGAGAGTGCCCACAGGCGACAAGGGAGCTCCAGCTCTTTAAAATCTACAGATGGAACAGGGAAGGCGAAATCCTCTGTTTCCACACCAGAGCAAGCAATGAAGCAATACATGCAAAAATTAACAGCTTTTGAGCATCATGAGATTTTTAGCTACCCTGAAATATACTTCTTGGGTCCAAATGCAAAGAAGCGGCAAGGCGTGATTGGTGGTTCAAACAACTGTGGGTATGATGATGATCAGGGGTCTTACATACAAGTACCCCACGATCACATTGCATACAGGTATGAAGTGCTGAAAGTTATAGGGAAAGGAAGCTTTGGGCAGGTGGTGAAGGCCTACGATCACAAGATGCATCAGCATGTGGCACTAAAAATGGTGAGAAATGAAAAACGTTTCCACCGCCAAGCTGCGGAAGAAATTAAGATCCTGGAACATCTCCGGAAACAAGATAAGGATAACAACATGAATGTTATTCACATGTTGGAAAACTTCACATTCCGGAGCCATATCTGCATGACATTTGAGTTGCTGAGCATGAACCTCTATGAATTAATAAAGAAAAACAAGTTTCAGGGCTTTAGCCTACCTTTGGTTCGGAAGTTTGCCCACTCAATTTTGCAGTGCTTGGATGCTTTGCACAAAAACAGAATCATTCACTGTGACCTTAAACCTGAGAACATTCTGTTGAAACAACAGGGTAGAAGTGGTATTAAAGTGATTGATTTTGGCTCAAGTTGTTACGAGCATCAGCGTGTCTACACTTACATTCAGTCACGGTTTTATCGTGCACCCGAAGTCATCCTTGGTGCTCGTTATGGGATGCCCATAGATATGTGGAGCTTGGGCTGTATCCTAGCAGAGCTTCTGACTGGTTATCCACTTTTACCTGGAGAAGATGAAGGAGACCAGCTGGCTTGTATGATTGAGCTATTGGGCATGCCTTCTCCAAAACTCTTAGATGCATCCAAGCGAGCAAAAAACTTTGTGAGCTCTAAGGGTTATCCCCGCTATTGCAGCATCACAACCTTGTCTGATGGCTCTGTAATACTTAATGGTGGACGCTCTCGGAGGGGAAAACTGCGTGGCCCGCCAGAGAGCAGAGAGTGGGGTAACGCATTGAAGGGATGTGATGATCCCCTCTTCCTTGACTTCTTAAAACAGTGTTTAGAATGGGATCCTGCTGTCCGTATGACACCCAGCCAGGCTTTGCGGCATCCCTGGCTAAGGAGACGATTGCCAAAACCCCCTTCTGGGGAAAAGGCCTCAGCAAAGAGAATTACAGAGAGTACTGGTGCTATAACTTCAATTTCCAAGTTACCTCCAACTTCAAGCTCAGCTTCAAAACTGAGGACTAATTTGGCACAGATGACGGATGCCAATGGGAATATTCAGCAAAGAACAGTGTTGCCAAAACTTGTTAGCTGAGTTTGAAAAACCCAATGCTGTTAATATGAGAGATACAATGTGGCTGAGCCTTATTTGTATGAAAAATTAGCTCAGATATGCATTTTTATTTGCTCAATAAATCTATTCATTTGTATCTTTCAGCACTCATTTTAAATGTAATTTAAAATGTTAATTTTGTTTTTATAAAAATACGGGGACAATGCTTTAAGTTTTTCTACTTATTTTTTAAAATGTTTGTCTTCTACAGTACAATTAGCCTTACTGTAACTAGTGTGACACAGTAATAAACATCAGTGGCAGGCCACTGGTTACAACATGACTGTCATTCATTGCAGCGTGGTATCAAAGGTATTAACCTTTCTCTTCCATGGTTCATATTAGTTTTAACCTGGGGTAAATTTGAAAGACTACCTTTTGGATTTATTGGGTTTCGTCTGTCTTCTGTGCACACTCACATCTATGACTGACTGGACTCCAGAAAGAATACTCAAAGAATTCAGTTAAGCACTTGTAAACCTGTAATTTAAAGTGGAGCCATAGCGTGTTCTATTGTCATTTTTTATGTGGTAGCCCAGAGAAAGTCATGGAATCACTAAGAATACTGTCACCTCCTATGGAATACTTTCTCTATTTAAAAATAATGGGCTTTGATTAAAATGATCATTTAAACATAATGCAAAAAATAACACCGGGGCTAAAATGACTCTTGCCTTGCATGCCATGTGGTAGAGTGAGAGGAACAGGTAGTCTTGGAAAGCATGAAAATGGCAATATATCTGTTTCTCTGAATTTGAAAGTGGCTGATTGGTTGGTAAAGCAAAATGTTCTGAACTTTGTTTAAGGTCTGTAACATTGAGCATTCACACAGGTTCTCCTTTTTTGTTTTTTCCCCCCCATCTCTTCTCTTGTGTTTTTTCTAACGTGCAGCTTGATCTCCCAAAATCACCTAGGCAGAAGTGCTCATTCTGTCACTTTTATACTGTAACTTCCAGACTGTTAAACTACATGGATTTCAAGGTTGCTTTTATTTCCTCTGACAGTGTTTGAGCGACTGTGACTTCTGTGGTACATTTACACTTCAGATCAAATCTGCATGTAGGGGCAAACACGACGTTACAACATTGCTTCCTGTAGAGGAGTACTTCACCTTAGACAGCTTAACTCTAAAAGGAAAGATCCTCAGTGGAGAGCTTTTCAGTTGGAAGACACCATCCTAGATAGTTTCTAATAAGGGAAAATCATCAAAGGAAAGCTAGGTGCTTGGAATTTGATTTAATCTTTGGCATTTGTAGATGAAAATTAACTTTGAAAGAAGAGTTAGAGATGTGTAGATTTGTTCATGTGTGTGTGCTAATGCTTGGGGTTTTTTTACTTATAACTGCATTCATGGAAGAAAAATGGTCTACTAAAAAATAGTATCTAGACCTATGAGAGAGGTATTCACATGTTGTAGCATGTTTTCAACAGGAACAGTTTGAAATCTGAGATCACTACTGTAATGTGTACAGTGGCTGTGGTCTACATTGGATGTATAAAACATAAAGGGAATTTTAAACAAAGTAGAATAATCCAGAAGGGTTAGAACAAGACACACTAGAATAGATTGCATTAAACCTCAGTAATTTTACTTATAAACAACATTTATATGCACAGATTTTACTGAGTTTCTTGTTCGAATTATGAAATTTACTTAAAGCATGGTCCCCTGAGAGGCCAAGAAAGTTTCCGGTTAAGTTCTCCTTCATATTCGTTAATTTACCACTTACAGCTTAATTTTTGTTTGTTGGTTTGTTTTAATTAATGTATGACTGGGGGAGGGATATAAAGAAAAAAATGACAGAATTCTCAGGAAACATATCGCTGAACTTCTTGCCAAAAAGTCAACACCTGAAGAAGCTCCAAAATTATTTCTGAGTAGAAGATGTTATTTGTTGATTGATAAATGTAAAAGTTAGACTGTCAATCAACCATTTTTCTTACGTTTTAAAATAAAAAAATAATTTCCTGCCTCTAGTCAAATTAAATTATTTAGTGTTAACTGTTCACAACTTTATACAATATGTGTAAGTGCAATATGTAAACATGTATGAAATCATGTGAAAAATGAAATATAATAATACTTCTAAGAAAAGTGGAGTTTAGAATATGAATATCCAGTAAATTATGGTCAGTAATTCTAAGTCTGGAAAAGAGATATATTAACTTTAATGTAAAATTAACTAACTTTCATGACTGTAGGAATACATTACTATGTGTTTTTCTGCAGTAACGGAATCTTTACTTCCGCCACCACCTACTTGGCTTTACCACTCCTTTCTACCTAACTCTTCCTGCAAAAGTCAGGAAATAGGGATGCTGATGTTAACGGTGAAAGAAGAATCATCTCCCTTGATATTTTTAAAAGTGGACATTGATACATGTTCCTGCCTTTTGCAGCAACTTAAGGTGAAAACATTCATGATGTTCATGGGTCATTAACGGGCTACAACCACTAAATTTTCTTTTTCATGTAACCAGTTCTTAATGCCAATAACGCATTTATGACCCACCTTCTTCATAAATGCTACCGGAAACTTAAAGGCCAAAATATAGTGTGAAGAGCTATTTTTTTAACCCAGATACAGTGGAACTTCCTCTATACTAAAGGAGCAGCTACATCAAGGTTTTTAAGTGATGTAGCTGCATTTTATTGTAGTTTATTTATCCCTGTAGAAAAAAAACGGGGGGAGGGGGGAAGGACGTTGCCTCTTGCTTTGATGTGATTTTATTCTAAGGGCTCTGATAGTTAGGCTGATAGAAGTTGGCTTGGAAACAGTGCTTAGTCTCACATGTTACCATTGTCTGGAGATGTCTGAGCTATTTTCAGATTTAGTAACAGCACAGTGTTGTCTTTGGTTGCAGTCTCACTTGGCTCAGTTTCTTGCACCACTGGTGTGTTCATTACCACTTAAGTGTTGGAACAAGAGAGAGATGCAAGATGTGTAGATTAAGGATAGAGGATGGATTGTGCCCTTGGTGTTAACAATGTGCCTTTTGTTATAAATGCATCTTGGCCTCTTTAACCCTTGGAATACTGCTTAGTAGGGATGAAATCTATTTTTAAGTGCTATACCTGTCTTAAAACATCCTGTAGATGATCGAGGCCTTAATAGAAACAATAAGGCAATCACACTGTTAGGGTGGTGAGGACACTCTGTTCTTGTAGTACCGTCTCATTAAGGGGTTAAAGATGGCCCTTCCTCATTGGTTGTACCTTAACATCAAATTGATTTTTTTTTTTAAATAATTTTTTCTTGTAGTGACACTAGACAGAAATCAACTGTATTTGTAAAAATTTACCTCAAACTCTTCAGTTTTATAGTGTGATTTAATCCCAGGGCATTTGGTATGAACCAAAGTGCATTCCTTTTATATGTGCCTGGCTCTTATAAAAGTGACCAGGGATTTTTACAATTTGGGTGCAAGGCACTTAAGCCACTTTTAACTTGGTGGGTGGTTTGGAGTTATAAATGACTTCATGGGAATGTTGAAAACACTTAAAAGACATAAGTAGCATCGGGCAATATTAAAATCTTTAAGAAAGGGTGTGCATTATTTAATGCTCTCCATTTGTTAATTTTTTTTTCCATCAGTAATATTTGTGATAAATACGAAAAAAACTCTTTTTACAGTCAACAAAGATTAGAATATTGCCCAGTGTAATACTATGGTAGCATTTAAATAAAATAACATTTGTGAATTATTGTTTCTAGGGGCTTGTACATCTCTGCTACAAATTGTAATTACTCAGTTCAACTGCTACAATTTTCGTCTAAGCAGTAGCTTGGGTTTTTATTGGGCAATGACTTAGACACGTGACTGTAATATGCTGCAACTGTGTGTACTGAAAACATGTGAAAAATGATTGAATGTGGACTGTGTATATATTTATGTATAATTTTCTGTGAGATGCTGCTGTTGCCACTTAACATTAAAGATGTTGAAGTGGGTTTTAATCCTAGTGGCCAGTTTTATGATACTGTATGTATTGTACAGCTGATGACAGGAGTTAAGACTGTTCTAGTGAATATTTGTTACATTTTATTGTTGTGGCCAGAGATCATTTCAGAATAAAATTTTATGTCCTACTTTAATTCTCTCCACTGTACTTTGGGTTTTTTTGTAGTCATAAAGAGAGCCCTTGGATAGCTGACACTTCTTAAATGGGGGAAGGCCTTCTCCTACTCAGTCAGTGGCAGCAGTGCCTTTGTCCCCAAGCTTCTTGCTGGTATCTGTATAGAGCAATCACCCATTGCTGGAGGATGACTCTTCTACTACTTTATGTGTCTTGACAGCCTTGAATATTGCCCAAAGGCTGCTTTTGCCCTGAAGTTTCTAAAGTTCTTCTCAGGACATAGAACGTAATATGTTTTTTATTTTTATTTGCCCCATATTCAAGAGAGAGTATCTTTGGCAGGAATTTTTTGGACATGGCTGTTCTAACTTTTTTTAGCTGCTTTTGAAAGATTTTTTTAAATAACAGTAGGTCTGATTTTATAAGAGACTCAATTGAGACAGGTACAGTATATGTTCTCTTTATTAAATCTGCTTTTAAAAGACCCAGATTTCTGCATGAATATTTGTGTCAGACTGAGTTTCCAGAGCTTGTCAGACTTTGTAAAGTCCCAGGATAATGAGAATATACTGAACAGGCTAGACTGAGCTACGTTCTGTTCACAAATACATCCAGAGTAATTTCACCAGAAACTGTCTTATAAGTGATTTGCCACATTCTCTACTTGGTAATGTCCGTGTGCACATGGAGCAGTTTCTCTGAAAAGCTTCTGGTTTGGGTGAGCCCAGGCTGAAATCAAGGGGTTTAATTGGAGTTTCTTAGTGTTTCCTATTCAGCATAGTTGGGAGATTTTAGACCACAAACCCCATCAATATTAAATATAGCTAAATACAGTTTACAGCCCCAAAAAGCAATGAGTCAGAAATTACATCTTTGAGGCCTACTTGTGATGGTGTTCTGAGGACAAAGGTCTTTTAAACTTCTTTATGGAAAAAAGTTTAACTAACTCCAGCTAATTCTCTTGCCAACTTGTGGAGTCTTTTGTCACCTTTGCTTTTTCATCTGAAAAAGGGTCAGGGCCATCTCAGTTCAGTTGTCTGGAAGTTGGCTTTTGGCCTGTGCCATTTGCTGAGACTACCAGTAGCTGGTGGGGAAATTGTTTTGCCCTCTGCCAGCACTTCCTTCCTAGTCTTCAGGAGCTCAGATCCCTCCCTAAAATGGGACCCTTGGAATCCCACCCTGAATGGCAATCTGTATTGCTG